ACTTGATGACCCACATGATGCATGATCTTCACTAATTAGTGTTTTTTCCATACAATGTTTCATTTCAAAACACTTCCTCCAAAAATTAGTATTAATATACTTGAAGCAGGTGCAGCTCCATGGTATCTTTGTAGTGCTTGCTATTGATGATGTCTGCTTATTTTTGGTCCTCAAATTGACGTTGACTGCATGAATAAGCTATAAAAGTTTCGTGACCACAAATTATTTTCCCTTATGGGAACTTGAAAACCTAACTTCTTTTTTGCTGTTCTAATATTTACAGACGAGCAGCTTGATTTGCAACTTAGTTTCATTGACTTCCAAAGTGGCAAGAAGGTAAATCTGGATCTGGACGTATCAGATTTGAGTCGGTAAGCTACAATTTTATCTTTCTATATTTTCTACTGTCTTGCTCATCTGAATTGCCTAATTATCTGGCCTAATATTTAACTCGCAAGTAATATTATTTATCACTGATTATCTTTATAGAATTTTTATTGTCATTCTAGTTGCTAATATAATTCTCCATTTCAATCTTGTTGTAACCCATGCATTACATAAATTTGTTGTTTGGAATGGATGGGTCGTGAATGTGATTTATATGTCAATATTGAAATTGTCATAATGATTTATTGCTCGATCTCTTGGCAGAGGGATTTACCCTTCTGAAGTTCTTCCACATAAGGTTGAGTCTCTTGCTTCTACTCAGTACACACTCTCAGAGTCACTGTTAAATGACATTAGAACTGCAGTTGGGAATTTAGATGCTGGATACTCGAGAATTTTAAGAGTTTGTAGATGTGTTTCAGAGGTTGTACAACAGTCATCAAACCGACAATAGCGTATTCTCAGTATTTCTACATGCTGCTGGTAGTTCCACAATGATAGTAAAATTTAGTCTTGTCAGGTATTTCCCCTAGAAAATACACGGAGGAATTATAATTTTGACTGACACGTTGGATAAGTTCCATCATGATGTCTGTATGTAGCTGTTTCTTGCTATTTGACCAAATACATCTAAACTTTGAATCAGATCAACAATGATAAAGATTGAGATTATCAGTCTTAGTTTTATGACTTGGATCACTTTCGTTTCTGTTAAGAGCGTCTAATCTAAAAGTTGAATGCCACACCATGGATGTTGGAATAATGAATTGCAGGAGGATCAAGTTGGAGCTACACCACAAGGTTAAAGCAACCAGTGCACAGGCTTCATCAAGCATTATCATTCAAAATTAGGTAACATCTCACGGACTATTAAAGTGTAATGTAATGATAGAATAGGTTGGGTTCTTAGGTCATGAAGTTCTGCAATCGAATCTAAATCCTAGGATCTTATTGCTTAATTTCTTTATTATTCTTTAGATTTGAGCATTCCCAAATGACCCAAAAGCATTATTTATCTAATCATAATATAAAACTCTCAAGTTGGATATGACTTTTATATTCATAAGGTCCAAATTTGACATTATTGCATAAACATAAAGTTGTTAAAAACAGGGTAGGATCAGCTTGGATCAGCATCTTTCTTTTAATATTAGCGTTCCTCATGTCTTGAATTAAATGAAGCCAGCAAGGAGTGGTCCAGTGTATATTGTAACTTCACGTGGCATTTTATGGGTGCAACTGATAATTATTGGTGATCTCATTTGTTGGGATTGAATGCCATTTTTTAAATTTATTAGGTGGAACTTTTGGGAAAATTGACGTATATTTTCTTTTACACTGAAATTTTTCTCGTACAGTATTATATGAAATGTATATTTTTTGTTTTTTTAGTTAAAATCTATTTTTAGATCAGAGCTAGCAAACTGAAAAGGACCTAATTTCTTGATGTAGATGTTCTCTAATATCTATTTGTTTAGAGCCTCCAATAGGATTTTGTCTGTTTGAAAATTTCATATAGGATTTATTCAATAGTTTATTGAAAAGTTGAGCAAATGGGTAAAACTTCATATCCATATGAACTTGTATTATTGGAAGACTTGTAAATAGTGAAAATGTCCTGTGAACTTTCAGTATCATAAGAGCATAGAATCTGTTTTATTATCACTAATATGCAATCACATCATCAAGAACATTCACTAATTATATAAAGGGATTAAGTATTGATGCTGATTGAAATACAGGGGTCCCAACCTTCTAGGATGTTGATTGATTAAGAATCTTCATCCTTTATGCTTCTTAAACAGGTTATAAATTTTTATTGTTCATATTTGTGATATTTTTGTTGAAATTTTTAGTTTAGCTTCATTTTACTGTTCATCGACTTTTTCACGTTATTGTTTAAATGTTTGACTAATCGTTGGGTATCAATGTAATCGTTTAGTTAGTGATTATGTCGATGAAAGTAATCGCTGAATGCAGGTATTCTATAGTGGGAAGGGAAGGATGAAAGGAAGGAGAAAGCACTTATGCACACTTTTTGGATTTGTGGGGTTCAATTCTTCATTGGTGATCTTTGATGTATTTTCTTCATTTGCCAAGTAGGTCTCTGATTCCCTCATATTAGCATTCTCTCTCTCTCTCTCTCTCCTCTCCTCTCCTCTTCTCTTCTCTTCTCTTCTCCTTCTCTTTTGAGCCATGAAGATTGCATCCTAGAAAGAAAAGGGCTTTAAAGATACGAGTAGAGTGGCGTTTCAAGTGAGATTTACCGTTTTGTTGAAAAGTTTGAATAATTAATCTATGCGATTGAAAGATGTAGGCATCTCATTTATGGATTTGTGTGGTGAGGATTATTATGAAACGTAGTCCCACGTTTGCTAATTAAGATGTAGATGATGAGTTTATAAGTAAGGAATACTATCTTATTGGGAAACTAAAAGCAAAGTCATAAGATCATTTGCTCAAAATGGGCTATATCATACCATTGTGGAGGTTCGTGATTCCTAACATGGTATCAGAGCCAGATACCGGGTGATGTGCCAGCAAGGACGCTGAACTCCCAAGGGAGGTGGATTGTGAGATCTCACCTTAGTTGGAGAGAAAACAAAACATTTCTTACAGAGGGGTGGAAACTTCTCTCTAGTAGATGCTTTTTAAAACCATAAGACTAATGACGATATGTAACGGGTCAAAGCAAACAATATCTGTTAACGGTCGACTTGGGCTGTTACATATGGTATCAAAGTCATGCCCTTAACTTAGCCATGTTAATAGAATCATCGAGTGTCGAACTAAGAAGTTGTGAGCCTTGAAATTGTAGTCAAATATGACTTAAGTGTCAAACTAAGGGTGTACATTGTTTAGTTTGAGGGTTCCAAACAAGGAATTGAGTCCCGATTAAGGGAAAGCTACTTGAGAGCTTCAGAAAAAGAGGTCTCAGGAGAGGCTCTATGGTGTACTTTGTTCGAGGGAAGTATTGTTAAGGGTTACTGAGAGAAGTAGTCCCACATTGGCTAATTAAGAGGAATATCATGTGTTTACAAGTAAGGAATACTATTTCCATTGGAGTGAGATCTTTTGTAAAAAGCAAAGCCATGAGACTTTAAGCTCAAAGCTGAGAATATCAACTCTCCAAAATCCATCCATTCATATCATAGAGGGTATCATTTTTGCGGCCGACGAGTATATTGTTAAGTGGGGCAAGATTTGTGGTTAGTATTAGGTTTGAGTTCTTGATTGATTTTTTTTTTAAATTATCGGTTAGTGTTTCGTGTTTTTTTTTTTTTTTTTTATAAATAATTTATTGATTGGTTTTAAAAAGAAAGAAATGGGTAGAGCAAGATTTATGCAATCAGTTGTTCGGTCAAAAGGAAGAAGAGTTATGCCCAATCTCAAACCGTTCTTACATTTGCTTTGTAGGAATTAGACGATGAGAGAACCAAGGCTAGATGATTATGTCATTCATTCTCTATATACTTGAAAAATTGTCGTATTTGAGATCTTTATTTTTCTGCCTTCGTTTTGTAGAAAGTGGAATGAACCTATATTTGAAAAATTGATCTTGCAGGTGAGTCACCATTTCAACAGGAGATCAAACAAGATTGATTTCGATAGCTGAGGATCGTTTTGTGCTTGACTCCACTCACTACCCTTTAGCATGAATGGGTAAAGAAAGACGCTTAAAGAGCTCGGTACCGTAATTTTTTTAAAAAAATAGTTTCAAGATATTAATTTCATAACTTGTTAAAATCTAGGCTTCAATTTAAATTAATGGGTTGTTTTAAAATTTGAAAGTTGAAAATTGCATTTGAATTTCCTTTAAAGAAAAAAGAAAAAGAAAAAAAAAAAAAAAACTTTAGAATTCATAAATGATTTAATGGCTGCCTAATTGCACCAAATGGGAAACCAAAAGCTTAGTTTACATCTAATATGTATTGGAGCCTATACTATGAACCAATCTCTCTCATATTAAATAATTTTTCAATTAATTATTTAGCCAAAAATGTGTTTTAATATATTAATACATTTAATTTTAATTTTGTCTCATATGTTTAATATAATTGTAATAATGATATAATATTGTAAGAAAAAAAAAAGAGTTGTTTTTTTTATATATATATATATATACTTTTTATTTCTTTATTCAATTAAAAAAATTATAAATATTGATATATAGTGTTTTTAGTGAAATATTAAATAATAGATAAATAACCTATGACATTTAAGCTCTTTACTATAAACTATAATATCTCTAATGACATAATATATTAATATAATATTAAAAAAATAAAAAATCTTTAAGAATATAAAAAGTACCCTTTTGGCTTTTCGCAATTAAATACGATGGAAATTGGCAATTGACCCTTCTTCTTTTTTTTTTCTTTTTTTTTGTAAATATTTCATTTATTTATGTTATATTTTTAATTTATAAATATATATATTTTAATATATGTAAATTTTAGTAGACGTAAATAATTTTTTTAAAAATATTGATTTGATAAATAATAAAGAGAGAAATATGAAAAATGATAGAATTTAATCGTTTTTTGTTTTTGTTCATTATCATCTAAAAAAAGAAACTTTTTTTAAAATTTATTTATTTTTTTAATTTTTATTATTGGGTATGTGTCAATTTTTCCCTTTTCACACATGCTCACATCCTTCCCATACCCTTCTCTTCTGCCCACCTAAAATGAGGGAAAGAAAAAAAACCAGAATCAGATTAAGAGAGATTCTCAGAAATTTCCAGTTTCTTTGGGGTTCTTTTGCAGCAATCATTAGTTTTGTTATAATCTGAAGCCCCCTTTTACCGATCTCCGCTTCTGTTTTCTAAGTGCGGTAATTTCTTTTTTGAAACCTCTCTTGTACTTCTATCAGTTCTTCCCCTTTTTTGTGTGTGTGTTTTCTCTTTCTCTCCCTTTTTCCGTTTGCTTGGGAAATGATTTCTGTAAAAGTATTGCCCGATTTCGACTCTAGGAGGTGTTTGCTGACTGCCCTTTTGTTCTTATGTGCACCAAATTCGTTATCGTTGAGTTTTTCTTCATGTTTTGGTTCTATGTTCAACTGGGTTGCTTTTGATTGTATGGATTTGTGTGTTTTTGCCGCGGTTTTTCTCTTTTTCTGACAGGTAATTTTGATTGTGCAAAAGAGTTGGACGTTTGATTCATTCAGTCTAAGAAATCATCGCAGGAAGCTAACTCCATTTATTGTTGTCGTGGTTTTCATGGTTCAGAATTGAATGTTCACGAAAGTTTTCTCCTCTTCCCCTTTATTCTCGTGCTGAGTATGAATTTGTGTTAAGTTCTTGGAGCTGGGGACATGGGTAGTGGCCATGTCTTTCCACTTAAAGGTAGGTTCAGGTTCCAATTATGAGTTCTTGTTGAATAGCAGCTTAATTATTTGCCCTTTTTGGACAGTTTGTTTTGGAGTAATTCTCTACTTTAGCTGATAGATTATTTGGTTTTGTAGAGGGAGAAGTATTTCATTTGTAGGTTTTTCTTACTCTTTGATTTCTCTTGTTAAAAGTAACCTCTCTTGAACTGCCTCTTTTGGCTGTTGTAAAGATTTGGGAGTGATGGTTTTGATTAATATGGTGTTTATTTATTGCAGAAGCTGCATTTAGCTCGTTCCTGTAGTTTGATTCTAGCTTTGGCAATCTAGAAATATTTATACGAAAAGGTTCAAAGATCTGATTGCAGCATGGGTTACATATGTGATTTCTGTGGGCATCAAAGGTCGACTGTTTACTGTCGATCCGATTCTGCAGCTTTGTGCTTATCTTGTGACCGTAATGTTCACTCTGCTAATGCCCTGTCGAGGCGCCACTTGAGGGCGTTGTTATGTGATAGGTGTCATTCACAAGCTGCATTTGTTAGATATCCTGAAGAGAATATTTCACTTTGTCAAAATTGTGATTATATGGGGCATAGCTCATCTGCTTCCATTTCGTCCCGAAAGAGGCAACCAATCAATTGTTTCTCAGGATGCCCGACAGCTGCAGAACTCTCATCTATCTGGTCGTTTGTTCTAGATCTCCCGTCTGTAGGTGATGCTTGTGAACAAGAATTAGGATTAATGAGCATTGCTGAAAATAGTGCAGTAAATGACTGGGGCCCTGATGATCAAGCTGGTCAAAATGTATCTGGTGCAGATCAAACCAATGAATTCTCAAATGAGGATAGATCAATTTGGTATGGCTCCTCTTCAATGCCTCAATATCCATCCAAGCCTCACGTCATGGACCAACCAATGAGGATAAATGCAACTTCACCCAAGGTACATAATAATAAATCATATTCTCCGGAACTAAATTTAAACGAAAGGTTTCTGCATTAGATATGAATTTATTAAAATGATGGCATATGTAGCAAATGTAATCAGTCGTGTCGTTTATGCTGTTCAATCCAAATCCTTATCAAATCATGTGGTTCTCCCAAAATACTTGGTAACAGACCAAATTATCGACGAAGTATATAATCCTAATTTTATTGGCACAAGTCAAAAACTTGATACTTTTGAATTCCTAGTGGCTATCTATCTACCATATTAACGTCTCATGACTTCCATTTTAAAAATGTTATGGTATAAGTTGGTAGACTGTAAGAATGGTATGTATATGCAAATTTTCCATTTGACTAGTCGTAGTCTAGTGTCGTAGTGGCCATCGTCTACTATGTTAATCTTCGTTTTCTTTTTAAAAACGTCATGATCTTATTTAGTTATTTGTAAGAATAGTATGTATAAGCTACTTTGAACACACTATATTTTTCGATTTGACTAGTCAAACCAATTTCTGAACAACTTAATAAGTTTAGTAGTAATTTCCAGAAACTCTTTCAATAAGTTTAGTTGTAATCTCTATTAGTGGATAAATTGTTTAGCTTCCACTTTAAAGTTACTCTTTCTTCTGATTTCGTATTAGAGAAACTATGGTACACAATTCAAGGTTATATACTGTAGCACTTATTTTCCAAAGCTAAAATATTTTTATTTTTGTTCTTGGAGTCATGAACCTTGCTGAATAAATATTTCAATACTATGATCTATTATCTATAGACTCTGCAATTGAAATCAAAGATTCACTAGTAGTTTCTTATTACTTTCTTAGTTTTTAATATTTATTTTGATCAACTCTCATTCTTATGACTTGAAAATAACTGTGACCTCCTATATTTTTCGAATGATGCGAACTTATTCGATATTTGCACAAACACTTGTAAATGGCTCTACTGGCAGCATTCAGTAGAATCGTCCCAGTATGACTTTGACATTTATGCCTTAAAATTCGGTAGTTTTTTCATAAGAATCTTTGCAATTTTCACACTATTAATATGCAGTTGCACTGTGCTGGAACAAAAGGTCCTGGACTCGATATTGAAGATGACCTCTACGAGAATTTGAATATGGATGAAGATAGTTGGAATCTTGAAAACTATGATGAACTATTTGGTGTATCTCTCAGTTTTTCTGAAGAATTGCTAGAGAATGGTGGTATTGATAGCTTGTTTAGGATGAAAAGTCTGTCCGCCACGAAATCTGGTTGCCCTGGTGTGCCTGCAGCAGAGGTACTTCAATCCCTTTGCAGAAAAGCCTTTTGATTGTTTATTGGAAGTTAGTCTTGTCATTGCTTCATGCTATTTATTGGTTGTTTCTCATGGATGAACTTATAAGGATTTAATAATTTCAAACCACTTGATTTTTAAGTATGAATAATAACAAGCACTTGTGATATTACACTTGCATATTCTAAATGTGAATGCTTATATTCAGGGAGCGTTCGTTGGTTTAGTTAATAATACGATGCGTCCAGCGAGCAGTAATGCAGCATCTGCAGATTCCATGATGAGTGCGAAGACTGAACCGATTCTCTGTTATAACAATAAGCAAGAGCACTCCAGCCTATCATTTTCTGGCATGACTGGAGAGAGTAGCGCAGGCGAACCTCAAGACTGTGGAGCTTCACCAATGCTTCTAATGGGAGAGCCTCCTTGCTGTTCTATGGCCACTGAGAGTTCTTTCCAGTCATCTAATCGTAGCGATGCCGTAATGCGTTACAAGGAAAAGAAGAAAGCTCGTAAGTGAGTATTAGTAGCTTTGAACCCTTTTAGCTTCGCGCGGAATTATTTCACATAGCTTTTGCATTCTCAACTGTCGTTTGATCCTGTCATAGGTTTGAAAAGAAGGTGAGGTATGCTTCTCGCAAAGAGAGGGCCGATATTAGAAGGCGTGTCAAGGGGCGCTTTGTTAAAGCTGGAGAAGCGTATGACTATGATCCACTGAATCAAACCAGAAGCTACTGAAAGTTTAACTTTTGGAATTTGATGAATACGAAAAAGTAAAACAAAAAACCAAAAAAAAGCAAACCGAAACGGATATGTGGCTTAATAGTCCGACAATATACTCTAATCAATGGATAAATATCGCTTTCCCAGTGTCGAACGGGAAGTTTATTTGTATATGGACCCTGAGTTTTCCATCAGATGGTAAGAGGGTAGATGCACAAAAGCCAGGTCTATAATAGCTTGTCGATACAACTCGAGGGGGCTGAAAATTCTGTATCCATACCCCCCAAAACGAACAAAGGATCACAACAATTCTGTGGAGAGCTTGTAAGTTCTTTGTAACATAAATGTATGGCTTGTTTGTTGTCATACAAGTCCATTTTAGCTACCCTCCGTTTGCAGTACACATGTTTCTTTAGACTTAGATTAGATCAGCTTGAGAGTGGAATGGAATGAAGCATTCGTTACAAGGGTGTGAAATTTTTTTTCTAATAGACGCGTTTTGACGGTGATACATAGTAGATCAAAGCAGACAATATCTACTAGTGGTGAGCTTGAGTTGTTATAGATGGTATTAGAATAACGAGCTTGAGCTGTTACAAATGGTATTAAAGTAACAAACCAAAGCGGACAATATCTCCTAGCAGTAAGCTTGACCAAAACAGACACCAAGTAGTGTGCTAGCGAAGATGCTGGCATGTAAAAACCTCCTCCTAACAGATGCATAGTTATGAACTATTACCACCCAAACAATTGTTGCCAAGAAAAGAAACCTATAAAATAGCTTTAGTTTGAATAACTACAGAGACCAACCAGTTTAAAAATGACACCACAACCAACAACTGGAACAAACTTAAGAGACACCAGCGTTGGTAGATTTTATAAATTTCAATAAGTAAATTAGCACCAATACATTTCTCTCTTAACTACTTGTGCAATCCATACAAATTGAGACCAAAATTTTCATCTTCAACCACTTTGCTCAAAAATCATATAAACTCAGAGCAAATGGGGTGACCTTTAACACTTGAATCTCACTGGAGATCGGAACAAAAATTGGACAAATAAATAGAGGGAACTTTTCGTGGGCTCAATAACAAGATATAGCTGAGGCATTCAAGGTGAGTTCGCCACCACGTGACCGAAAATGCTTAGGGCATCTTTTTGTATCAACACTACGAAGCCAAAATCGAACCCAGCTTTGTGAACGATCGGCTAACTGAAAACTATAAGATTTATGAAACCAATCAATCATCGTCATCTGAACTACTGTCACCCAACATTCTCCCGTTGTCCTCAGCTTTAGTCGTATTATCCTGCAAGTATAGTTGATCACACTGATATGAAAATCGGAACCAATAGTAACAGGCGCAACCGACATTAGTATTTGAAAGTATATCTTACTGGCATCTTATCCCAATCTTTTAGCTTGGAATTGGTCAGCATATAATTATCACGTAACGGAGCCCAGGCAGGCTCTTCAGCTTCCGCTGCATCACCTGATGTGTTCCCCTGTTCAACACAGAGGTGGTCATTTTAATTCATTATGAACACGAAGAAACAGATAATACACCTCCCTTAACCATCATACACCTCCCTTCCCCATTCCACTGTAAACAAAAACAACGGTGATGATGGTAATTAAACAGGCCACACATATGCTTTGCCTCGAGTACAGAGACTCAGGTGTTCGTAAAGAGTAACATCCCTTGTAAGCAATTGAGACGAGAATTTACGAACGCGTTGTTAAAATTTGATAAATTTATCAAATTCTATAGCGGAAATTGGAAGACTAGAAAGTAGAAATAACTAACCTTCGCATTATTGTTTGTTGCTGACAAAGTTGGCTTGCCCAACTCAGAAAAGAAGGCTTCTTTCCTGCGCTTACTTATAGCTGACAGTATAAACCAAATAAATTACTCAGAATGAGACAAGATAGAACGAGAAGGTATTTTACACATGGTTTCACCCTCAGTCTTCAACAGCCCCTCACATAATCACAAGTCAAGAAGGAAAGGATGAGCATGCAAGTATGCAACCATGATAGGTCTAGTAATGTTACGCTAAACTCGAAATGACACTACGTAAGCCAACAGTGGAAGGGAAGGCATTAGTTGACAGAAAGCAAGCATGAGAAACTAACGGGGCGATAAATCCAAGGCACGTCCCTATAAGTAACTGGTTACTCCAATCACATAGTAAAGTTACTTGACTCATTAATTAGAACTTTGGTATGTTGTCAGACTACACAAAATGGTTTTCATCAAGGATAAAGCAGAAACCCCAAAACAAAATATAAGACATACATCGTACGACATCGAAAATTAAGCTACAAGATTCAGTACAATGGAACGTGAACTACAGATTCAAACCAAATTAATCGAATGCAAATGCCATTTTCACAAAGCAAGAAGGAAAGGGTGAAAATTATATTAGTTCTACACAATTTTTTATTTTGTTAACTTCTAAGATCAAAGTTACATAGGAGGCACAATACCTTTAGCATCTTTAGCTCTGGAAGGATTCAAACCCTTCTGGGCATGTTGTGCCTTGTTGACCTGTATCATATTAATAATAACCGAATTCAGCGACGAATACAAAATAGAAGAGCAAAAAATTGGCTAAATATAAATTTGGCTACTTACAGCATTAAACAACTTGACGACTGACAATCCAACAAGAACCAATGCATAGAGATAACTATGTTAGTATGACAATAATTTATAATCAACAGCCACACCCATCTTTATAGAAGATAGAACGATACACTACCTCCTTTTGTAGCAACGCCAATAAGAAACTTCTCATGAGAATCCAAGTAAGTAGCAGGCTTCACATGCCCTTTTTCTGCCATCTACAATATCCAAACATTTAGAGTAAGCTAATTTGAAGCAAGCTAAATCATACAACAAACATAATAGGAAATACCAATTGTTTCTCCTTCTTGGCCTCTCCTGTGACCTTCCGCTCAGCTTCCTCTTCTGCAAGCTTTTCAGCAACAAGCTTCCTGTTTGCTGATAATATAGGACCCTGCAACACATACATGGCGGATTAATTCTTCATTACTACTATTGAAAACAACTCCAACACACGTAAGATGTATAAACTACCAGAGTTTCATCAGATATGCTCTTCTTAAGAATACTCCTGAAAGCAGCTCTGAATGCTCTACAACCTTCAATAAACTTAGTTATACCCGGTTGCATTACACCACTCTCATCGTCTTCGGAAAGCCCCGCATCCGAATTCACATCGTTCCCTTCCTCTTCTTCACCCTCAGAAAACTCTTCATCTTCAACCTCCTCGCGATTGTGCTCTGAAACTTTGCTCTCATCTCCAACCGCTGGAGCCGCTGCAGTATTTGTGTCATCATCTTCATCATCTGAATTATACTCACGCGCTCGTTTTCGAAAAAGTTTCTGCATTTTCCTATCAATCTTAACTTTGTTTCCACTTCCACCCATCATCCTCGGCCTTTTCTTGTTCCTAGAACCAATCTTTTTACTCCTCTTCGTACCTCTCATCAATTCCCCTTCCTCGGCCATAGTTTCTGATTCAAATGCACAACGAAATTTTCAAGTCTTTCAGAGAAAGTTCTGTAGAAATCCACCGCCACGACACGAACAATGGAAGAAGAAGCTGAAGAACAGAGTGATTAGGGTTTACGAAAGGGAAATTTGGAATAAATGGCCCAATTGGTTTTGGCCCATTTTTTAAATTAAAAAAAAATGTTCCAATAAAATAAAATAAAATAAAAATGCATGGATTTATTAATTATTGTATTTGATTAATTAAGGGATAATTTCAATTTTTAATTAAAAAAAATATAAAATAAGAAAAAATTAGTTAACTCTCATCTATTAATATTAATAATATGACATTTTGAGTAGGGGTCTACATTTAACCCGACAACCCGGACCAACCTAATTGGGTTGGATTGGGTTGGGTTGAGTTGTGAAAAGTTTTAGGTTGGGTAAAAAAAAATCCCTTACCCAATCCAATCCAACCCGGACCATGTACACCTCTAATTTTGAGATACTACTTACTTCGTTTGATTGGTACTTTGATGGTCAGTTTAGGTTCTTAACGAGTTTCAATTTATTGAAAATATCAGTAATCGAAACTGGATTGAAATTCGAGTTCAAAACGGTCAAAGCATGTGAAACTTGAAAAATCGGTTCAATTGAACAAGACCCGTCATCCCTTTATCTCTAGCAATCCTTCGCTTGCATGTGCGTCGTCTTCTATTTTTCCTCTTACCTCGTTTGGCTTTCCCAACCGTGACCCCAAGTGCTTATAGCCCCTTCGACAACGTTGTAGTTCTCCTCAAGTTGAACTTATCGGGTAAAGAATCATGCAATTCCATCTTGTATTATAAGAGATATAAACATTTGAACATTTAGGGATACCTAGAACTGTTATCTTCGACCCTCAAACCGATCTCCTTTTGCAACCATTCTCAACCCTCACAACATTTGTAAAACCCCTCACAATGAAACTATAGAGACAACAATCAAGCCAAATTATTCAGAAATGAGTAAATGAACTAACCCGTGACTTACCCTAGAAACTCAAATTCGATTTCCACCATCTCGAGCTCCTCTACCCAAATTGGTTCAACAGAACTCAAACTCGTCTCCACGAACGAAACCCCTTCAACCTCACTCTAAATGGGTCTTGGTTGCTCGAGAATCTAAAGAAGAAGAAGAAAGTCCAATGGACGTGGATTTATCTCAACTCCGACATCATTTTCCTTCACGAGTTCGAGCTGTTATCTTCCAACTCTCATCCATTCAACTTAACCATTGCTCACCTTCTAATCCCACCATCACTACCCGAAATCGTGCCCCTTAAATGCTGCTTCACGCCACTCATCACGTCATCAACCCTATACCTTACATAAGATCGACGACTAAAGTAATTTTAATTTTATTTATTTAAATAAGTATTACGAGCAATCACGATGATAATTAAATACCATAAAAGTTATTAACTCATTGGAGCCACTAAAATGCTATCTACATAAAGTCTATATAAGCTTCATTTGAAACTCCTTGGAACTTTTGAGCCACTAGAAATTTAACACTATATCATAAATTCAATGAAGAACTCCTACGGATAGTTGCATACATAAATTTATTTTTTGACACAATATGGGGTTAGCTTTGAGATAATCAAATTCATGAAGTTTTAATTAAAGATTTGATCCATCACCACTTGAAGCTTCCTCCGATCGCGTATATGAATGGCGTCAGTCGAATCAGGATGAGCTGATCATAAATCTTTACCATTTCAACAATTCCACGATTTTCTCGTCGGTTTTTTTGCTCTTTTCGATCATCCGCTCTCTGTTCCTCTTCGTTCTTGCAGATTGAACGCTTTGACGTAAGTTTCCGGTCGCCTCCTTTTCCTTTTCGTTTTCTTCATGAAGAAATGTTCACTTTCCATTGATGGATCTTATCTGGTTTCTCAATTTGGTAAAGACGGAATCGCTTTTTTTTTTTTTTTTTTTTTTTTTTTTTTTTTTTTTTTTTTTTTTTTTTTTTTTTTTTTTTTTTTTTTTTTTTTTTTTGTAAGCATTTCCGCTCTCTGGAGTGTTTGAATTTATTCGAGTGGTTTGTGGAATGTATTGAATCTTTTTGTTCTTGAGTTTGTAGACTTCTGAAATTTCTCCATGGTGTTCGTTATTACTTCGTGCCTCAACTGTGAAGATTTGGAAGTTGAACCTCCTATTTGCTGTATGATTCATGTGAAAAACTGTAGTTTCATATAATTTGATGAAACAAATAGAATTCTCTTCTGTTTCTTCACTTCAATTGGTCGGTTCTCTTCAAGTTTGCCTCCTTTTAGAGATTACGCTTCTTCAAGTTCATACTTCGATTGTTGTATTTTCATCAATCAGTTGGATAGTTCTGTTCTTTCCTGATGATTTTTCATGAGGTTTTGTTCTTCATTACATGGTAGTGAAAGGTTCTTTTGTTTATTAACTTGTTTTCAGGTCTGATCTGAAGAAAGATTTGCTTGCATCCTCTTAATTGTTGCGTTTTTTTCGACCTGTACTGACCAAATCTGAGAAGTTCAGTTCAACCACGATGGGCCTCTCCAGTCTCCCAGCTCCATCTGAAGGAGTCTTTAATGTTCTTCTTGTAAACACTGCACTATCATTTTCCATGTTCAAATGCTTTGTTCGTTTGATCCTTCAAGTCGTAGGAATCCTTCTCTCACCACCGTCGTTGGCTCCACCATCAGATTCCTTGGAAAATTCCTCAGAGTTGGGGGATTCCAATTTTGGTGCTTCTTGGAGTTATATTGAGACGTTTCAGAACCAATATCCAACGATTAAGTTCGCCAAAGTACAGGGCTCCGATCGTCATGAACATGACTGCCCTGTTTGCTTAACTTGGTTCGAACCTGAGTCGGAGATAAACCGCTTATCTTGTGGCCATCTTTTTCACACACTGTGCTTGAAGAAGTGGCTGGACTACTTGAACATTACATGTCCTCTTTGCAGAACTCCTCTCATGTCCGAAGAAGAGAAATTGTGCTTTTGGTGAGTGTTTAATGTGATAGAATTTAGTTAGGAAAAACTCATGCACAGCATACTCTTAAAGATAATCATGAACGCGTTTTATACCTTCTTTGTGTATGAAATTTTAAGTTTGATGTCACTGTATATACATGTTTATGAAGTTTTATGCTTTTGGCTTGTGCCTTTAGCTTTTGAGTTAGGGCACCGTTACTTCACGAGTGAAGTAGCTCGACTCGAAGATGAGAGGGAGTAAGTAACTCGAGATCGTTCCGAGGGGACTAGCTAGATCAAGACTAGGAGAGATGATCCCCGGACGAGTAGAAATTGAATCCATACACTTCATCTATTTTTGTACATAGAATTTTCCGAGTATGCAACAAGCTTTTCAAGTATTATTTGTTTGATATTGGCATTAACAGTATGTACAGAAATTTCTTAGAATTACAGTTTTAAGTTATAGTGGGAATTGTTCAAATCTTGGTGGGCAACTCTAATACCTTACATGTTTTTTTTTGGTGTCAAATACAGTTCGTCGACGGAGCACGATATTCCTCGAGTATTATGATCTTAAATCGAAAAATTTTCGCTGGCCTTCTTCGATGAACCTGCTAAAATCAAAGTGGAAGCTTCCTCCACAATATGTACGTTGATACTACCTTCTCTCCCCATATGTACGGTGGGCTTGGATTGTTACAAAAGGTTTCATATCAAATTTAGTTTTAGTTCTAGCTAGTCCGTGCTTAAGTATTCTGAAGCATAGATGATATTCTGATTGCAATGTAACATGTATTTTAGTTGAGGATTCTTTCTTAAAATGATATCTTGGTGCTTACGGATTCTCGTCTTCTTGAAGCTTCAAAATTTTCTTCTTATACAGAAATCCTACTGCAGAAAAATGAACTTACCTTTACATATGTATGCAAGGGAAGAGTGTGGTAGGCTTGTTCCATCATTATTTGTGGGGTCTGTGACTCGTGAGGAAAAATCTAATATTTTGAGAGGTTGAGAGGTGTTGTCTCTTTTTATGGCTATTTTTAATAGTCCAAGCCCACCGCTAGCAAATATTGTCCGTTTTGACCCGTTATGTATCACCGTCAAACTCACGGTTTTAACTGCTAGGGAGAGGTTTCCACACTCTTATAAGAAATGTTTCGTTCCCCTCTCCAACCAATGTTCCCCTCATGGTTTTAACTACTAGGGAGAGGTTTCTACACTCTTATAAGGAATGTTTCGTTCGCCTCTCCAACCGATGTGGGATCTCACACTATTAGTGGATCATACTTTTTTGTAATTATCAAATGACTGTGACTTGTTGTTTTCGATTGAAGTTCTTTCTTGTAAGAAGTTGAGCACTTTTTTTTTGTGGACTTATTTCTCGTATATCCTCGTAAATTTGTGAAAGCTCGGTTTTATATAACAAAACATGGACTTAAACTTTGACTTATTCTTACTATTTCTTCTCATAAATAGGATATTATTGTTCTCCTTTCATGTCACTACTTTCCTATTGATTAGAATTACTGATGGAACCTGAATTGCTTCTGAAGGAGTATGCAAAGTAGTGTGGAGTATTGAAGCTGATTTAGAAGCTGCTCAGCTTCTTTACCTTACTGGGGATCCTGTCGCCTTAGGCTTCTGGGAACCAAATATGGCTATGCAAATGTCTCCTATGGAACATGCTAACTTATGGATGGCTGAAGATGACACAAGCCGCAGTGTGTGTTGTAGGTTATGAGTTTTTTTTTTCTTGGATTCAATTTAAGATTATGTATATGTTGTGTCACGGTCATGCTTGTCCAAGGCATGTCGCTCATGGCCGCATGCCCGTGACACGCTGAAACCTTTGCCTTGTATTACTTTATTGTTATTTTTACCGCTTTCATGTTGTATTATTTCTTTCTTATTTTCTTTAAGAGTATGACGTTTTGGCGATGTCATGGCTACGCCTGGTAGACATGAAATGCCTCAAAATGTACTATAGGGGGATATGACTAGTTGTCAACTTCTCCCTACCCGATAAGTTATATGCAGTAAGCAGTTGTTGTTGTCTTTTTGCTTATGTTCTTGTATAACACCAACCTCTCTCTCTCTCTCAAAACTCTTTTTCTAAAACCTCTCTCCCTTGGTTTCTAAAATCTTCTTTTGAAATCGAGACCCGAGGTTTGTATTCACGTCGCCTGACCGCAGGCAACGTAATTCAAAGTAGGCTTAATCCACTCAATGCTGAGAGTAGGTGTCGAATAATCGCCGAATCCGCTGCCTAGAAACCGCGATTGTGACACTTCACTTCTTGGCTGCTCTAGTTTACATCTGATGTAGCTTGTAGATGCAATTTCACTTACTATTTGATACCAATAATTGTGATGATTGATCTAAATTTTGAAGCCACAAGTCTTCTAAAGGTGTAGTACTCGCCCCTATCCTTAAATGGGCTTATGCACTCCACTCACTATCGTATAAACGAACGTTAGAACGAGCGAGGGAAACCTTCAATTTAAGGGCTTTCCCCCTTATCCCTCACCCTCCCCTTACATTTCTGCTTAAGCTTCCCCAATTTATTTAGGAGATTAATTAATTGGATACCCAAGAACCATAATCTTTTTTAAGAACAGCTTCTTCGACAATAGAGATAGAGAACTGGAGATCAGGTTTGTTTGGCATCCATTCAGCTATCTTATTATCTGCTAAACTTCATCTACATCATACCTCAAAATTTGGCCTCTCACCCATCCTCACTGAACCTCACTATGGCTTCTTTATTCTCCTTTCAATCTTCATTGCTCGCTACCGTCTGCCCCGGTGACCTGTTTATGACGGGGACGGGGATGGGGACAGGTAAAGATTTATTAAGAGACAAAAGTCTGCCCTTCAAACCCCACAGGGGAGCTCCCTTCCTCAAAAAGGAGCTACAAATGAAGATGGGTCCAGCAGAAACATTTGTGACTGTACAGAAACTCACCTGAACAGAGCTTAAATGTATGATAATTAGTAAGAATGGGATACCCAACAGATACCCTTTGAAGTAAAGTAGAAGAAGATAACGTAAAGTAAAAGAATATAAATGAGTCGACCAAAACAATTCACATTTTCTGGATCATATCAATACAACTTCCTCTCTCTATCAAATAACTTTACAGGTAAGGTAGCTGAAAAACTCTTCAACAGCCTATATCTTACCTTTCAAAAGCCCCTATAACATCTCCAAATTAAAGAACAAAGAATGCAAAAACATTTCTCAACACTTTTGACTGCAAATTCTCTCAAGTTCGAAGAATTCAACAATAGAAACGCTCGAAAAAGCAACGCTCGAAAAGCTTATCAAATGAAGAATTGAGAGAGAGAGAGAGAGAGAGAGAGAGAGAGATTTCATATAGCACCAGCTGCAAGAAACAGAACAACTGCACATGCCTACTTGAACTAACTTAAAATGCTAAATATCTGTTATAGGTGGTCTGCACCTTTCATGTAGTAGTACTCACTTCAAGCAAACAGTAGCAATCAGTCTTTTTCCGCTCCTTTAAAACATTCTCCGGTCAATAGCAACTCTTCACTCGATATTTCGTTCTCGATCCATACTTGCTGGGAGCTCTCCCAAAAATCCCAATATTAATATGTTTTTGAGCTTCTGATTTGTCGATACCTAATAGTTACTCGGCCAATTGATCTGCGAGTGTTGAGGTTGTTGGTAAATGTTACCTCCTGGTCCTACCGCGTCAACTCCTCCAGCCACGGCTTGTGACTGTTGCAGAAGTGGGTGAACTCCTGCTCCAGTTACTGCTTGTGCTTGATGATAGATACTAGCAAATGTACCGTGCCCAGTCTGTGTTGGCGTAAATGTCACATGTTGACCTGGTGGTGGAAGGTTGTAAAACGAATTCGCGGGCAAGCTCGACATGTCTCTACCGGGTGCACCGATCCATACTGCCGAGCCATCACTCTAAACAGGAAGAGGAAAACGATCTGAGTTATTGTTTATGCACTTCTGTCATCAAACTTCAAGATATTGCAGGGAATGCTAATAAGGGCCACCTCGAATCCCTTTTTGACACACTTTTTTCAATCATGAAAAATTTGAAAAGATAATGTTATTTTGTCTTTGATGGCTCAAAAAATGATTCAATAAAGTCGCCACAATGTGTTTGTCTCGTCTTACAAACCGTTCGAAGTACTTTTACAACAACAGTGTAAAATTGCCCGCCCACATTGAAGCGACCTCCTCGAACAATTTCCCGACACTCACAATCACCATTTAGCATAAAACAATACAACATATTAATTTGAAGAGAATAAGAATCAAAGGGCAACACCAACCTGTGGTCCAGTGATGTAAACACTATTTTCCTTGAACTGCGATGCACCAAGGTCCTCGTTAGCGACGGTGTTTCCAGCTGGAGCAGCAGTGCTAGGGCTATAACCAGGTGCTGAAGAGCCATAAGGACCGTAACCACTAGGCACGCCAATGTGGGACGAGTTACCTGAATTGGCTCCCATCTTGTATTGTGGAATTGAATATTTGACTGCAGCAGCTGCTGCTGCTGCTGGCGGAGCTGGAAAGATGTTGCCTCCTTGAGGTTGCTGAGGAAATGCATTATTGCCAACAAATTGATGGATGGGAGGAGGTGGAACATAGAACGGGGAGAAATAGTGACCATACGGTAGGTAGTTGGGGGGGTAATGAGAGATATGGACTCCTGCTGGAGGTCGAAAGACGGGCATAGGTTGCTGAGTCATAGCTATGGAGCTTTGCATAAGTCCGGCTGCTTGTGTTAACAGTGCCGTTGGACCTGCTGTCGACAGAACCACGCCCTACACGCAAAGAAACAATAGCATAAAAAAATTGAAAGAGGAACAACTAATATATAAAGAGGATTCTATTCCCAACTTGACCCGTCGAGTATTGGGAAGCAAGCTAGTCCCTGAAAATGCCCGTTCCTTTGTCCTTGACTCTTTTGGTTACTCTCATCTTTCGTTTTTGTACTCTATTTGGTCCTTGAAGGTCCAATTAATCAATAGTAAAGTAATGTTCGGACGGTTAGTGTCGGTTCTGCATGGGGCCTCGAACGATGGATTTCTACGCTTTTTGAGAAAAAGCTCTATATGGGGGAGAATAGAACAAGTGGAAAGAACACACAACATCTAAAGGGTATCGGGATAGAGATCCTATTCCTAGAAGAGTCCCCAAAACAGGAGACGATTGATTGAAAACGACACACGTCATGAAAATTAGGCATATAATTTTAAAAAATCTCGAGTTCAGCAGGTGTAAACAAAACTCGTTGCAGATATCCAAAATAAATAGCAGAAGATGAGACAAGCATACTGTTAAGGATATTTAGTAATAAATTATAGTTTACCATATATATTATATTTGATATTTTATTATAAGGCAAATATCTAATATTTGCTTTATTAACATTCACACATACAAAAAAGAACAGCAAAGTCCTAGAAAAGTGGCCTAAGGGTAACAATTAACCCATCACAACATGTCTTAATGAAAACAAAGTCCCAAGTATGTACCTCTTGAGGAGATTGAGAGCTCGAAGGAGGCAACATCGCAACATTGCCATTGTACTTAGCAGCAACTCCTGGAGAAAGAAAGGGGGAAAGTCGACCATCGTTCTCACCCGATCGGTAAAATTGGGCATAGTAACTTGACGGGTCAAAATGCTGTTGAACCTACAAGAAAAGCAGCCGATATAAAATTCATATAACGTGGTAAGATATCAAGGATACGAAAGCCAACCATACAAATCGTAAAGATCGGCTTATAATAAAGCACTAAGTTCGGTGCTTACAACAAAGCTGGGAAGACGAGAAGAATCGCAGCCCTGAGAATCAGAGT